CGACCCAACTGTAGCAAATGTATATGCTGACCAGTGTCCTAACCTGAGAAAATTTGTGCAGTCATAAAGTTGAGTAGTTGATAGATTTAAGGTAGTAAGTAGAGTCGAAGAGGCACTAAAAACTATGAATAAGCAGAAATCACCAGTAAGCAAATCCCTGGGATGGAGGCTTATTATGGTATGAGCAGAGAAGCAGAAGTGTGGGAACTATGGTGTCTCCCTAATGGCAAAGCCCAGTAGTGGCGAGCTCTTCCTCTTGAGTGGCAATGAGACAAGCAGGGCACTAGGGCTGACAGATCTTGAAAGCCTGCATGCCCAGTTCCTACAGTCTAGTTCATGAGTCAGGTTTCAGTCTCTAGGAATTTGGCAGTACCACTATCCCTTCCCTCCTAGAAGTACAAATTTTTCTAGAAGCTTGTTTAAAATTTTATTTTATATATATATAAAAAAAATGTATGTGTGTATGTATATATGTGTGTGTGTATATATATATTTGTAGACATATATAGAGACATATATAGATCTATAGATATATACATCTTTATCCCTTCTATTGAAGGGATAAACATGTTGAATGGATATACCACAATATGTGTTTATCCATTTATGAATTAATGGGAGAATAATTTTAATAACATATAGTATATATGTGTGTGTGTGTGTGTGTGTGTGTGTGGTAAAAATTCCTCATTTCCTTATTTTCATATATGTCTATATAATAAATCTCTCATTTCTTAGATCAGTTAAATGAATCATCATTCCTAGCCACAGAAAAGGTATGGGGCATAGTTTTTGAAATATATCTTGGGACAACCAGTGGTGTCTAAAGTTCTGGATTTCACGTAACTGAGTGATTCAAGCCCCAGACTCTGGCTTTAAAAATATGCCAGACCTTTGTGTATATGCCAAAAATTCTGAAAGGAAGGAGAGATGGAGGAAGGATAGCAATGTGACCATTCCCCATGGGTGTTTTCTCACTTTCACTCACTCTTTTTCTGTAAGGAAAGAAGAAAAGTATATATGTATGCCTCAAAATATATCTATCAGCTTTATTATTTTTTTTGAGAGGTTTTTGTCATAGAGCACATGCGCTCACCAGACAGACAGAAAGACAGAGTGACAGAAAGCAAGAACTCGCCCCCCAGGGGGGATGGCCATGCTGCAATCCCTTCTCCTCCATTCTCCTCTCGGGATCTTGGGCACACACACACGTGCCCAGCATGAGTTTTAAGCCACAGGGTCTGAGATGCTATCCACGGTTGACTACATGGGAGTTCAGCAACATAGCCATTACACTAACTGCTGGTCCCTCAGCTTTATTTTTGAAGAAGTATGTTATAGGTTGTGTGTCTAAGTATTTATGAGAAACTAATGAGATGAAAGGAAAATAAGGAAATTTTTTTTTCCCATATGAGAAGCTAGAGTAACTCATGATCAGTGCATTACACAAGAATTCTTGCATGAAGATTTCAAACCACTTGTGTCCTTCACCATACAGTCTTAATATGATTCTACATCAACTTTAGCTGTGATGGGAACAACGACAAGATTTTAGAGCTTAGAAATTCAGTTTTTTATTCTGGCCTTTGCAAAAGCAGGCAAATATCCCTGGCTGACCTTTTCTATTAAAGGTAACATGGGCTGCCTAGAAAATCATTCTGTGGAAATGAGGCGAAGCCCTTGGGAGTCAGACTAGTTGCCCTCCCTCCCCAGAATTGGCAGAGGCTGGATGTTCTTGACCTAATGCCCCACTGCATGCCACATTGGTATAGTAATTTCATTTTCTTGAAAAGATTTTTACCAGTCACAAATAGACCAAAATTAACCTCAGGAATACCTGGACTTGTGACTGAAATGGAATGGTTATGTGTTTATCTAAAAGTATAATAGTGACAGTTTGTGCAGGATTTTCTGCACAGAGAGATGAGATGGTCAGCTCCCTCCAACCTGTACATATTAATGATCTAAATTGCTACATATGTAAACATTAATAAGCTCATTTAGCAACCACTGAACTCTGTATTTTTCTAACACATTTGCTTTCATTCTTGGCCTGAAGATAAACAATTGAGGAAAAAATCCATCATTTAAGAGCAATTAAGCTTAATAATTACTCAAACTTGTCATCCATAAATCATGACCAATAAAACATTTCCAACCAATTGCTTATGGATGGGATCACTAGCTATGCATTTATTATAACAAAAGAACCAACATTTCATGTGTTAGTACATAATATCTTTGTTTAAAGAAAGACCATGTTTGTTTATTTTTAATCATAATCCCCCAGCAGACTGAATACAGTATGTAGATACCATTACTATGAAGTTGAAAAGGAGAACAAATTTCTTTAAATATAGTATTCTACTTTGATAAGATATTACCTCTCAGTGATTATTTCCTTCATCACAGAGAAAACCAATCATCTGTTATGTGGTTCTTTGTTAATCCAGGTAGATGGAACTCAGTAAAAGTCTCAGATTATATACCTACCAGAATGTTAACTCTGTCCACCAATTTTACAAAAAAGGTTCTCAGAGAGCTTTCTTTTACTGATACATGACTTAGGATATTTAAACACCATCAGCTACAGATAGTTTCGGATGATTTCTAGTGGCACTTGTAACCTGATAAGTGGAAAATATTATCCAAGAAACTAGTACAAAGAAGACATTTCATGGTGTCCTGACTTTCACATCACCTAACCAGATGGATCTATGAGATAAATTCAATTGTGTGTGTGTACATTCGTAAGTCTGTGTGTGTGCATGCGCAGGCATAAATCCTCCGCTCTGCTTGAAATATACCAAAGGTCCAAGTCCTTCTGTGATTATTTGGATATTATACTCAGTGAAATATATTGCCTTATATTTGAAAAGTTTTCCAAACCCATTCAGGTACATTTTTAATTAACTTGTTTATATAGTCTAATGAAGTTCACAGGGAAGATATTTTAAATCTGCAGATGAAGACACAGAGGCTTGCTCATGATGGCACAAAATAGAAAGGTTGACCCAGCCCCTGGCCTGGTGATTAGGGCAGCTGATTCCTCATCTCCAACTACTGGTTTGAGTCACAGACCTGGCAGTTTGAAAAACACGTGTGTGTGTGTGTATGTCTGTGTGTGCGTGTGCACATGCATACATGTGAGCTCAAAATCCTGAAGGAGCAAGAAATTGAGGAGAAAGGATTGCAGCATGACCATGCCCTATGGGAGTACTCTCTTGTCTCTCTCTCTGATGAGTGCACACACACGCTGGAAAAAAAAAAAAAAAGAAAAGAAAAAGACAGAAGCACTCAACTTCAAATCCATAACTTCTGCATTCTAGGTGTAGAAAAACAAAACAACAACAACAAAAAAAAAATAAAAAGGAGAGAGGTTAGATGGCCATAGTCATGTACTGAGGATATTATTCATGGTGAATTTAGCTGTCCAATACTTCCTATTCATGGACATAAAAGCCTTTTATAGATCAGACTATTCTGAATTGAGTTTATCCACTACCAGGTCTTCTTCCCTTGTCACCTGTATGTAGTGCCTGAAGATTCCTCTTTGATCTGCATATCATTGGGACTATCACTGACTGTATTGCAAACACTGGTTAGCTAAATTCGCCATGCTTACCGGTCTTATTTATCTACTCTCCTTAGTTCTCTCTCCAAGCTCTGTTTTGTCTTTGCTGACTTTCGCTCTTCTTTCTCTCTCTCAGTTGGATCCTCTAGACACTGTCAAATAAGGTTTCATACATCCTCATTGACTAAAGGCATTTACTTTGTCTTTGCTTCACTCACACCTACCTCTCTTTCAAGGACACCACTTCCTCTGAAACTTATAGAAATTAAGAACAAATGCACCATGAACTCGATCTTAAAATAAAGAGTGTTCTAACTGGAGCCATTTCCATACAAACAAAATGAAGGTTACATAATGTAAAAATATCATAAGCTTGTGCAAGATGCATTTTGGCCCTTATGATTTTAGATTGAGCAGACGTTCTTTTCATTTGGCAGACAAGAAAACTGAGGATTACAAACATTCATTAAGGGCAATAATGGTTAATGGCAGAACTCCTCTTTGGCTCTCATCTTTGCTCTGCTCTCTCTCCTCAATTATTGTTTCTCTGTCCTCATCATTACTCTTCATATTTGGAGTGTTAAGAAATCTGTCTATAAAAAGAACTATCTTTTTTTATTCTTCACTTAATCAGCATCTATTTATCAAGAATTTAATTCATTATTAGCTACACAGTAAAGTCTAGCTATATTAGGCAACAGACCAGGGGTCCACAAGATTTTTCTTGCTTGTTTGTATTATAAATTGGCATATAGTAAATAAGTTAGGCAGGGCCATGAGGGCTCTATCACCACTACTAATATTAGCTTTCAGAGTTCAAAAGCAGTCATAGACTCTTTGTAAATGAATGGGCATGGGTGCATCAGATTAACACCTTATTTGCCAAAACAGGTGGATGGCCACGTTTGGCTTGCAGGCTAATTTTTCCCCACCCTTGTGTTACATGGTTCCCCTGGGCATTGGTGGGGAGAACATGGTGCAGAGTGCAAGATGGGTCTAGAAGAGGCTGGCTATAGTTTCCACCAGGATAGCTTGATGATCATATACCTTTACTCAACACTGTAAAACAACCTACTGACAGTGCAAAATGTATAATAGACATTAAACATCCAAGTAGTTGAATGAGGCAGAAAAAAAAATGGTTTCAAATCAGTACCATAGGACATCTTCATTATGCCTCCTAATACCAGACCATGTTCAGGATGCTGGAAACAATAATTTCACTTTATCCTTAAAATAATCCATTGAAAAGAGTATTACAATCTTTATTGTAAAGAAGAGAAGCAAAATCTCAGAAAGGTTACATAATCTCACACTAAGAATCAAGAGAACCAAGATTTAAAATCAGCTGTCTTTGATATATACAACTATGTTTCTTCTATGACTAAAGATTTTAGAAACCTAAAAATTTCTGTCACAATCATAGGTATGTTTGCCTTGGCCTTCCATGAGAGGCTGTTATCTGGCAGGACCAGCGGTGGCACGGTGGTAACACAACATGAGAAAGGTACTGGATTTGTGCCACAATGCCTCCTTTTACATGCCAGGTACGTGCACAATTGCCTGTAATCTGAGCGGACTGAGATTAGGTGGAGTATTCTATTTTTGGTGCCTGTCTCTCTCTCATGGAAAGGAAAAAAAAAAAGAAAACTTTAAAAGAGAACATGCTACCCAATATGAAACATTTGCACATTCATGTTTTTTCAGTATTATTCACAATAGCTGAGATATACAATTCATCAAAGTGCCCCACAACTGATGGATAAAGAAAATATGGCACAAATAGGCAATGGAATACTACAAAAAACAATGATGCCTTGTCATTTGACACAAAGTATTACAGTTGAATCTAAAAAACCTAAGGCTAAGCAAAATAAGCCAGGCTAAGAAAGACAAATACTGTACATCCCTGTTTAACATATACTGAAGTCCACACTTTGGCAGAAACTGAAGGACTTGATGGGACAGAGGTTGAGAGAGTAATAATAGATATCAGTGATCAGGAGAAAATGATGAACAGACACAAGGAGGCATGTAAAGAAGTGAAATAGGCTATGGAATGGTATACCACAATAGAATAAAAGTTGACAATTCCTCTACACAATCAAAAGAAAACCTTATATAGCTAACGGGTCATCAGGAAAGTCATGATGCACTCTTACATAGAAAAACATGGAAAAATAAGTCATGACTTACTGGACAGCCAATGTAATATTTCTGAATGTATGCAATATAACATAATGTTCAATGTTGAAAAATAAGGATTTCTATAAATTATACAGTATACACATTGAAAAACTATACTGTATCTCACTAAGATATATAATTGTATGTAAACCAGAAATCACAATTAAAATTTTTTTTCAAGTACTAATTAAAACAATATGCTCTTTTTTTCCTTACTTCCCTACCCCCAGTGACACTTGCAAAGATGTTAAATGAATGGACCACCAGAAGAATCAAAGCTCTAGAGTTCTCTTTGGATGCACTGATCCTTGCGAAAGGGATCAAGCAAGCTTATATAACTGAGTCATTGTTAGCAACTTTATTGTCTTCCAAATAAATATTGAAATAAATTGATCAGATCGGTAGCCAATATCTCTTTACAGTGAAACACTTGCTGTATATAGCAAAGCTGAGCCTCCACTTACATAACAAGGTACTCCCCAAATGTTGGCACAAAATTACATGAGATAAATCACATTTAAAGTGTTATGAGGCGGGATCAGCAGTTAGCATAATGGCTATGTTGCTGGACTCCCACGTAGTCGACCACGGTTTGAGTAACAGACCCGGTGGCTTAAACTCATGCCAGGCACGTGTGCATGTGTGCCCAAGATCCCAAGAGGAGGATGGAGGAGAAGGCATTGTGGTGTGGCCATCCCCTCTGGGGGGTGATTTCTCGTTTTCTATCTCTCTGTCTCTCTCTGTCTGTCTGGTGAGCACACGCACCCTATAGCAAAAACCTCACTGAAATAAATAAATAAATAAATAAATAAATAAATAAATAAATAAAGTGTTATAAGGCAAGAGCTTCTTCAAAGTATAAACAATAAAATCTTTAGAGTGGAAAAATCATTCATGTAAACACTCATCCTTTAATTTACTTTTTTTTACTACACTTAATTTTTGTAGTACATAAGGACTTCTCAAAGTAAAGTTTTATTTGACAAACTACTGTGTTTAAATAATAGTGCATAGAGAGTTAGAAACATATTGTTGAAGTTCCTTAACACTGTTGTTCTTACTTCACAGTAGATATCTTTTTTGCCCTACCTTTGGAGAATACAAACTACATATAGAAGAAATAAAGTACTGTATTACATTTTCAGAAGAAGCTAGAGAAACTAGTTTTTATCAGAAATACTATGACCAAAGTAGGCTAGCCTGTAATTATCTGGATATTAGAGAAAAAGTAAAACACTCTGCATCTACATGTGATGACAAGACACCAACATTAGACAATCCAACAGGGCCATAAAACTATTAATTGAAAAGAGCAGGAGACATTTATCTTGTTAGTTTCAGATTCATTTGTTGTTTCTTGGACAAATCTACCAACATCTGAGAGCTGCAGGATTTTCTTTTATTTTTTTTTAAATCAGGTTCAAATAACACATTGTTATCTAAATGATAATCCCAATTCCTTGATGATATTAATAAACAAACCTTAAAAATATAATTGTAAGTTATTGATCCCCTGCCAAAAATCTGTCACTAGTGTATAAATTTGCATGAACATATGTTAATGCATAATTCACCATTTGCAACAGGGCTTTGTTGAAAAATTTATGAAAATTCATGAAAGAACCTTGCTAGATTAAGTTGCCCAATAAGCAAGTAACCAGAGTCATTCACAATGTAGACTTAATATAGCTTTTGAAATCAACTTTAGTGCATTCTATGATTGTTATAAGACTTATTTAAACTTCTAGATAAATGATTGTTTATTACTTTGAACCACAGACATCTACATTTAAGAATTAAATGAGAAGGGATTGAGAAATCATCTATTCCAAGTTTCCCAACCTGTTGTCCATGAAACACCAGCAATAGACCCTCTTGCGTGCTTATAAATAATATCCTTGGGCTAGCCATTGGAGTGGTGGCTAAGGTGGCTTGATCCACCTGGTCAACTGCATATTTTGAGTCCTCGACCCAGCAGCTTGAAAAACACACTGGGGTGGGTAGATGGGGTCAGGCAGCAGGAGGTATAGTGGTTAAGGCACCAGACTCTCTCATGGCTCTTAACTGTGGTTTGAATCCCGGATCCAAAGGCTTGGAAGTTGCACCAATCACATGTGTATCCAAAATCCTGAGAGGAAACTTGAGGAGATGGGATTGTGGCGTGGCCATACCCCTGGACGGTGATTCCTTACTTTGCCTCTCACTGTCTCTCTCCAGTGAGTACAAATGCTGTGTGGCAAAAACCTTAAAGGAGGAAAAGAAGAGAAAAGGAGAGGAAAGGAGAGGAAAAGAGAGGAAAGGGAAGGGAAAGGGAGGGAAGGGAAAGGAAGGGAAAGGAAGATGTGATGAGACAAGACACAACACGATGTGACACGTCAGGAACATGGATGCATGCTCAGTCCTAAGAGAACGGAAGAGAAGGAATTGTGGTGTGTCTATCTCCTCAAGGGGTATTCTCTCCTCTCTCTCTCTCTCTCTCTTTCTCTCTCTCTCTCCTCTGTCTCCTCTCTCTCTCCACCCCCCTCTCTTCCTCTCTCTCTCCTTCTCACAAGCACTCTGTCTCCTCTCTCTCTCCACCCCCCTCTCTCCTTCTCACAAGCACACATGCCCTATGGAAAATTTAAAAAACAAAAAATCCTTCAGGCTGGCCAATAGCCTAGTGATCAAGAAATCTGGATCCTACATAGTCAACAAGGGTTCAAATTCCAGCCCAGGAAGCTGTGTGTGTGTGTGTGTGTGTGTGTGCCCCAAATTCCAAAAGGATAGAGAAATAAAGGAGAAGGGATTGCGATGTGACCATGCCCCACTCTATGGTGCTTTATCCCTTCTTTCTCTGTCTCTGTCTCTTGTGAGCACATATAATCTCTGGCAATTATAAAAAACAGAAAATCCTTCATCTTGGCCTATTCCTAGAATTCCAGAACCAAATTTCTAATGGGAAGTCTAGACATTCACCCAATACTTTAGCTGCTTCTTAAACATTGTAAAGTTGAGATTCAACCATGCAAGTATACAAATGGGACACTGAGGCTCAGTTTACTTGAGGTGACCTGAAAATCGGTGACAGACCTGGGACTAATAGGTACATTGCTTTACTTCTAACCTAATGTTTCCCCTCCACATTTCAGGGAAAAGTGTAGGAATGTTAAATGTACTTCACATAAGAGCAAATGATCATTTCATATCAATGTCCCCGGAATAATTTCAGCCAGTGGCCATGACTAACACATGTTTACCAGAGGCCAGGTCCTATTCTCAGTATTGAAATATACTAATAGATTTAATCCTCGCATCACCTCTGAGGTAGGTACTATCATCATCTCCAGTTTACAAATGAGGAAACTGAGTCACAAAGAGGTCAAGCACCCTGTCCTTGTGGTGCCATTTTCATAGACTAACAATGTAGAGCACATCGAATCTCATCATCACCGTTTAAATTTAAGGAATATTAGTTCTCTGTTCAGGTAGAACATTATAAAATAGCTCTGATCAAAATTTACCTCTGAAGACTGATTCTCAATATAAACAAATTCCTTTGTGGATTATAGGAACACAATTTCATGATGACACATTAATCTACAACCAGGCAATTATACCCAAGTGCGTGTGTGTGTGTGTGTGTGTGTGTGTGTGCGTAATTTTTTTTTCCACATAGACTTATGCCTTTTGAAGGATGGTTGAAATGGCATGCAGTTATGAAGTGTCAATTGGGATGGACCTGGAGTAGAGTTGCCAATTTAGCAAATAAAAATAGGACAATTTTAGCGTAAAGAAATATTGCAATACATAATATTTGGGACATACTTAGGATAAAAAAGTCCTTGTTTATCTGAAATTCAAATTTAACTGGGTGTCCTATATAATATTTGGCAAAGCTAACTTGGAGGAAAAAAGGACTTTTGTCAGGCAGGGATAGGAGTCTTGATAGGGAATTTGGTGCAACCCTTGGCAACAGTAAGATCTTGTACCTGGGAAATAGAGCACACTGAAGAAGCATATCTCAACTTAGCTACTTTGTCTAACGTTGGGTGTGTCTGGCATTTCCATGGTATCTAGACCTAGACAGGATGTCTGTGAATTTTGTGAATGTTTTATGAATAGAATGGAAATGGCAAGGTTATGTAAATGCTGACATTGCTATGGATGTATCCATAGGTAATTATCGCTGGGCCATGGAGTAACCCCTGAATAGCCCAACATTATACTTTAATCTTAGGTATTGTCTTATAATTGTTCAGTCATTTTATTACATCTTAGTTTCTCAACTATGCCACTGGCTTCTTAAAAATTAGGAATTTCTATTCTAATCCTCTTTAAAAGTAAACGTGTGGAGAATGTATATTAAGATTGAGGATTGAGGTTTTCATTAGACTTGATAGATTTTGCCTAAATTATTCATTTATTCATTAATTCTTCCAACAAATATTTATTGAGTACCACCTTAACTCTGCAATTGGCTTTGCCTGGAGAGGCAGTTTGAGAATGAGGGATTGGAGCTTACTAACCAACATACGCTTTATGCCACCTGTAGTCAACACAGAAGAGAAACTGTGATTTACTCATAAACATTCCATGGGCAGAACATTCACTTTTTTTCAGTTCAATTTTAAAATCATAAAATTATATCAGAATAGTGTAATTCAGTTTCCTGAATACCTTCCCCAAACTGAAGACAAATAGATTTCGTTAGCAGGAAGTACCCTAAAGCCTTGGCTGTGGACTGAATTTTTTTATGTCCCCAAATTGATATGCTGAAACCAAATCCTAACCTCAAAGAGATGGTATTTGGAGATGGAGCCTTTGGAAAGTAAGGAGAGCCAGATGAGGTCATAGGGTAGGAGAGGGGGTTCTCATGATGGGATATTTGAGAAAATACCATGTTGACACACAGTAAGAAGGTGGCCTTCCATAGGCCAGGGAGTGAGTCCTCACCAGAAACGGAACCCTCACAAGCCTTGATCTTGGACTTCTCAGTCTCCAGAACCAAAACAATAAATAAATTTCAATTTGTTAAACCACCCTGTCTATGGTGTTTTGTTATGACACCCCAAGCTGACTAAGACAGCTTTAAATTAATTCAAGGGTAGGCTACAAACTTGAAATTATTGGAGCCCTTCTCCCAGGCTGACACATGAAGACATTGGATACTCTTTTTTTAATTTTTTGGAGAGTTTTTTTGTTTGTTTGTTTGTTTGTTTTTTTTTTTTTTTTT